AAGCCCCCAAACCCCTAGACCCCTAAACCCCCAACCCTACATCCTCAAACCCGAAACCCCAAGACTGGATTATGCCAGGCTCTTGCCTGACAACTGGGAGTGGCTCGGACGAGGCGCCCCGGAGCGCATTTCGTCTTCGGTTTCTGGAATCCTCGGCTCCCCGATGCTCCCAGGTGCCATTCAGATCACGTGGAGATCGCGAGAGGACAAAGAGGAGGCCGAGAGACAAAGTAGAGATACTTGTAAGGCGGATGGGACGCAGCGAATCGGACCTATGAACAAATTTGCAAAGGTTATGTTACATGTTACATTGCATGTTACGGTATGTTCCAACGGTTACGGTATGTTCCAACGGGACTCCATGGTGGCGATCTTAGGGGTCTGCCAAGACAGTTGTCGATGTGGATAAGACGCCTGGGCTGCATGTCCCACCCAGAGCAAGCCCAAGCAAGCCCATGTGTGTCGTAGCAGAACCGAAGGTTCAGAAGCTGCAGACCCTCTCCTGCATCCCGTCGCTTGACGAAATGAGCGGGATGCTTCGGAAGCCACAGGAAACTCGTGAGTCCCTTTTTCCGGCCTGATCTTGGAGCCAAAGGCCCGCCCTTTGAGGGGCGTTCATAGAGTTTCTGCACAATCCGAGGATCGTCATCATCCCAACGAACACGGCTGGCATCTGAGGGTTGTACAACGTGCATGCAGCTGGATGACATCCTTGTCGACCCTGTCAATGTCCCACTCTGGCAAACGTCTCAGGTTCCCATCGACTATGCTCTGTTCGTTGTGTCACCGTTCCATAAGAAGTGCGACTGACAGTCTTGGCTTGTGTGCAGGGGCTGCCCACCACCTGCCTGCGAACCGGGTTGCGCAGGTACTCGGAAGTGAAGGCGGACATCAAAGAGAGCGAGTTCGACGGGTTCACCTGGACAGAGGTTCGCCTGCAGCGAGAGCCGCCACACAAAGGGGTAGCTGAGCAGCCCAGACTCTTGCAAGCCCAGGCATAGAGAAATTCAATGCTGCCTAGAAACAGAAGGCACAAGTTTCAAGTGCTTTGATTGGCAAGCTAATCTCGACGATGCGGGATAGTCACCTGTGAGGGTAGGTAAGCCGAAGTCAAGCACAGCCAAGAAGAATGCCTGTTCAGCTCAACTGGATGCAGACATCGCAACTGCCAGGCAGCGAGCCGCTAAACTACCTCTCATTGCTGACAACTTGACTGGGGTTATATTGGCACGAGCGGAGCATGAAAGCAGCAAGAATGCCGGTGATGACGCAAAGGGCAGAAAGCAGTGCCATCTGAGAAGCAGGCCGTGGCACCGTGGCGAGTCGAGTCCCACGCTTCGCCATGAAGCGCGCAGAAAAAAGGTAGTCCTCTAAATTAGGGTCCCTTTTAGGGTCCTTTTTATGAGGGTGCCGTACCATATTGGGGACATGTGGGGACCGAAAAAGGGACCCTAGTTTAGAGAACTACCCAAATATGTTGAATGCTTTGGAACGGAAAGCGCTGGAAGAGCGTCTCCGCTTCTAATCGAAGATGAGATGACATTTCTGGCCCGTCGTTGTTTTGAATGGTAGCGGAAGCATTCGGAAAGCAACTTCACAATTGTCAGAAAAGGTTTAGAATCTGAGACATCTTACGTGAAGCCCACAGTGGTTGGAGATGCGAGGAGCAGTCTTCTAACTTGATCGACGCAAACCTTTGGAACCACTTCGAGACGCGTTGCTAGGCCAAAACGTGCAAGAATAGGCGGCAGCAGCAGCAGCAGACTGAACCAGTTCAGCTCTCATGACCTCTGCAGACCTCGCCAAACCAATTCGTGCAGAACCTCAGTGTCGACTGACCTGCAGCGGTGCTGATTCTGACATTCTGACCAACTCCGCAGCTGTAAGCCGCGGACACGGCAGAAGTGTCGACTCCAAGATTCTGCTGAGCAGGAGGACGAGGAGGGTGTGGATGTCGTGTACGACGAGGGCCAGGGAGCCCAGTCGAAAGAGCGGTGTCGTGGATTGTATCTGGGCAGGGTGGAATAGACTCTACTCCCGCCTTCGGTTGAGCAAGCGCAACACATGGTTTCTTTTAGGAATGGTGATGCAACTTGGCAGCCGACTCGTCCTTCTTTCGGAGCCTGTCACGGCGTCCATACGCCAGAGTTGCGCAGGTATATAGTTTAAGGACAGCACGAGCGCTGCAGACCTTTGGACTGGACCCTCAAACAAGTCCAAGATAGGGAACAACCGTGCACACTTCCCAGGAGCTCCTCTGGATGGAGTTGCTGAATGATGGAGGCTTGGAGGGGGTCTAGGGCTTTAGGTCCTTTAGGAGGCAGAAGGAGCGGAGAGTAGGGGTGCTTCGCAGTCTTCAGAGCGTTCTGCCTCGACGGAGGTGGGGTCCTTCGCCTGAGGCCTTGCTTCCAGGGGAATTCGATTGCCGATCCCATAGCCCCTGAGCCGCTTAAAGCCTGCGGGAGTCCCGCAAAACCTTCCACGGCGGCTGTGCAGCCCTTTGACAGCCGGGCGCTTTGTGCCCAGTAGCACTGGTCGAGGGATCCCGCCTGGACGGAAATCGGAAAGTTGCAGAGTTCTCGGCAGGGAAAACCGCTACCCCGCCTTTCCGCAGCGTGTCAGATGGGGTGGCACGAAGTTCTTCTTTTTGATCTAGCTTGCTGTGCGACCTTGCCTGGCATGGCCGGCTCGGATCTAGAAGGAAAGGCCGCCTAGGAAGTCCTGCGCCGCACCGGGTGCGCCGAGCCAGTATGGAGGCAGGGTCTCACGGTGCTGTTTTTACAAGCTCTTCGTGACCGTGGGAATGTGCTGTGCAGTTTTTTGTTTGTAGTTGTTGATGTTGTTGTTTGCTGCTGTGGTTTGCAGTTGTTTACGGTGGCTGCTGCGGCTGATGGTCCGTGGTTTGTGATTGCGATGCCTTTTGTCGTTGTCAAAGCCACAGAGGCCGAAGTGAGCCCGTAAGAATGGTGCCAAGCCGCGAAAGCCACACCCAGCCTGCTTGTGGACAGGGGCCGCCCTTCGCGGGGCTTCGCGAGACTTCCGGAGCAAATGGCGGCAAGAGTGCCTTTGGCTTCTCCTTTTTTGTCTTGAGGGCTTTGGCGGTGGTGATTGGTGGTGGTGTCGTGGCAGATTGGGGATCCACGGCTTCAGGGCTTCGTTTTTGGCCGAGGCGGACACAAAACTCGTCTTGATGTTGTTGGTGCACTCGCTTGAAAGGGAAGGGTAGCGCACGTTGCGGTCGGGTGTCATCGATCATGACGGAGAGCGCCTCCGTCCTTGGTACCGAGGCAGCTCACCCAGCACACCCAAGCAGATAGAGTCGCCGGTTCAGCGATCAGTTGATGGAAATCCTGGGCGGAAGAGCATGGTAAATGCGCTGCCAGCTGCACGGAGAGCGGGGTGCGTCATAGGTCTGGGGTGTGGATTTAGGAAGGTGGGGGTCGAAAGTCGAAAGCAGGTGAACAGCGAGTTCGTAAAGGGGAAGCCTACCAAGCACTCGGCGACCCATGGTTGCAGAGGGAAGCTGGCGAAACTCTTGCAGAGCTCTCAGCTCATGAACATCATGGCAATGGTGATTCTTGTCGATGCCCTGGTCACTGTGGTAGACGTGGATGCCCGGGCAGCTGGCAATGAGCCGCCTCGGGCCATGATGGCCCTTTCAGATATTTGCCTCTGCATGTATACAGCAGAGCTTCTGGCCATGATCTTCGTAGGTGGACTGCGGATTTTTCTGAGCTGGATGCCCCTTCTGGATTTACTAATCGTCCTTTGCGGGTATGCGGAGATGGTGATGGCGAGCTTCCTGACTCCTGAAGAGGCAACGCTTGTCTGCAAGTGCCGCTTTGTTGGCCGCAGCTGTTTCTTGGAGCTGTTCCGACTTTTTCGCTTGCTGCGTCCTGCAGCGTTCGCAGGTTGGTGCGATGAGTCTCCTGCGCGCCCTTCGTTTGGTGCGCATCAGTAGGCTGATCCCTGTCCGCAGCAAGCAGTATCCCTACCCCTACCGGCCTCTACTCCCGGCAGTGGAATTCGGTACTTCTGTAGTTGAATCGCTGCAGTAACTGAGGGGAAGCCCGCGAAGAAGTCGGTACTTGCTTGCTGTTGTCCGGTAAGCAACGGGAGGCCCACCTTTCCAGGCTCTTGGGACAAACACACAGCCACCAGCTCCCACGAATCGGACAGTAAAAGTGGTTGCACGAGTGTTCCTGCACCTGCAAGTTCCAACCCGATCTCGCCAGCAGTCAGACCGGTCCGCTCGTCGTAGATACAAACCGGTCCGCGACGGATCATATAAACACGGTTTATCGTTCGGTGAAGCTATATCTGACGGCTTGGCTTTGGCTTGCGGCGAGAGCTCAGACAGAACTCTTGGGGAATGCGTCCAAACATCTCTGCACGATTGGCCGACATGGCGAATGCCTACAAAAAGCTCAAGAACTGTACGTGTGTTTCCTTTGCACCCAGGTTACTTTTAGGTGGAGAAGAAAGGTTCGAAGCCTTCCGTTGAGCGAAACCGGCCTTTGTCTTAGTTGTTTTTGTAGTATTTTGTAGTCTACAGCACCAAAACAGATAGTCCCGGAACCGACGCGCGCAGATATGCAGGATAGTCTTCCAGTAGACGTTTACCTCAAAGTTGGACTTGGCTCCAGCACCAGCACGCTTGCAAAATGCGGCGCTCACCCCGACTCAACCCTGAACTGAGCCTCAAACTTTGTGCCCTTGAGATATGGGCGCCCTTTTCACCGTGGTGATTCTTGCGGGTTGGCTGAGCATTCGCGCTTTCTTCAGACATGGACTTTTGTTCTGCCCAAGGATGCGGCTACTGCGGAAGAGTCGCTCCTTGAAGGAGCTGCAGAAGCTGGCAACCATGATGACGACGTGTTTCAAGGCCAGCACCCCTTTGATGCCTGTCCAAGCCTTAACTGTCTGTTATGGTGGGCAACTGCACAAGACCTCACTTTCAGGGTAGAATCGAGCAGGAACAAGCAGAGGAAGCGCGATGGAGGAATGACTGCAGCTTCATTATGAAGGGAAGGCTGCATCTTCATCATAGCCAGACAAGACGATGGACCGAGCACTTCATGGTCCTGCCCACCCTAGTGACCTCAACCCGAGCATCCTCAGTTTCCATCTGCACCTTCTAAAGCTTTCTTGCACGGCACCTACATAGCCAAGCCTGACGGCCGCCGGCCAGTGTAGTGAAGGCATCTGCGATTTTCAGTCTCTACAGCGTAGAGCGCAAAACATAAGCAACATTTAGCTGGATTAAGTTCAGGTTAAGGGGTCACCGTCGCATTGAGCCACTTCGACCAGGCGAGCACGACCAGAGACGGAAGTTCTTGGTAGTTCGCGCAAGCTGCCGCAAGCATGTCAACATGTTACAGCACGGTTTCTTGTCAATGCGCAGACTGCAGCTTGTTTGAGGTTCATGGATAGTTCCAGCGCGGAGTTTGCCTCCGTGTTTAGGAGGTGGGGTGTAACGACAGCCCCGCAGGCCTTGCTTTGGTCGTTCCTCCTTTGCTTCGTGATCATGACCCTGTGGGCCATGTTGAAGCATCCGGTTAATTTTTTTCTTCTTTTTAGTGCCAGTAGTAGTCTGACCCGGATGAGAGTGATTATGACCGTCTTTGTGACAAGGCCATGTTGATGGTTGAGATGCTACATCCACTGATAAAGGATAATCCTGACTTCGCCAGCTGCGGCGATCTTTGCTTGGAAGCGACATCTTCGGTGATGCGTGCAAACCTGCTGCTGTTCCAGACCGTGATTGCTGGTGACAGCTGGGGTCTCATAGCGGTTCCGCTGATCTTGAAGCACCCGGAGACTGCCATCATTTTCGTTCTCTCACTCTTGACATTGGTTTTTGGAGTATTGCGCCTGGCAGCAGTTGTCTTGGCACTTCTGTGGTTAGCCGGTTAGCCGTCGTTGCAATTATTCTGCAGCCAACATTGAGCACATCTCCAGAGTGAACAGCCGAGGAACTTGATCGTAGCTGTTGTCATCGACATGTTCGCTGAAGCCCGCGAAAGGGATATGGTGAACCTAGCAGAGGAGCTGGAGTACGAACTGGAGGACGACAAGAAATACCTTCAGAAACTCTTCGATCGTCGCCTGCTTGAGTCGATTTCCTGTGATCAATTTTGTTTCTAGTCGGCTTTCGACCACACCTCAACATGGTGCCCTTCAGACTTTGCACGTGCATGTGTTGGAAGCGCAGCTTGCAGTAAGGAATGGACGCAAACAACGACGGCGAGCTCTGCTTCGAGGAGCCAAGAGTGAACCAACCGCCCAAAGGTCCCGGGCCGAAGCCTCGCAAAGGCTGCGCGTTTTTTTGGGGGGATTGCTTGCGGCTCTAACTGACAGGGCTCGATTCCTGTGACACCAGGGATTTCGGGGATGATTCTGATGGCTTCGTTGACCATGCTGATAATGACCACCATGACGGCGGCATCTGACGAAAGTAGGCCTAGGAACATTTTCAACAGTCCGTGCCACTGCAGCTACGTACATGTTGCTGGACCTTGTGACCTTGTAGAAACAAAGCTTATTGTCACTACTGTGATTATGGTTACCACCACGACGACGACGACGACTACTACTACTACTACTACTACAGTTTGTGTTTGTCTTCTTGTCTCACTATGGGCCCATGGTCTTCCTCTCTTGGAATTCGGACTCCTCCGGAGCTTCCGAGTCCAGGAGCTCATGGCCGGGGCAGGGCGCGACCCGGAGTTCCAGAGCCGCCTGAGGGTCATGGACATCGACCAGGCGGCTTTTTTTTTGAGTTTAGGGTTTAGGGGTTTAGGGTTTAGTGCGGCTTGTTTTTGGGCTTTTTGGGGTGTTTTGAGGCCGGGAGTGCTCTGACACATGGGGCACAGACACAGAGTGACTCTCTGATCGGTCTCCGCGGGTGATGCATGATACGTAGAGCGTCTACGGGTTGACGATTAAACATGCAAATCCAACAGCTATTCAGTGATTCATGCAAAGCATGCTGCACCCAGCACCTCACCAACTGCCAGTCGTCGTGGGCCTTTGGGACATTCAGTATCAATTTCTAACGGAAGCATCGGGACATTTCTTGCCGGGGCTGTGTACGATCGGGAGGAGTCTTTTGGCTCCTGATGTATGGTGCAGCAAGGCTAGTGTTACATTGTTGCAACATGATATCTCTGCCACTCATCCACGGGGGTGGATGTGTCAGAGAAGCGTGATTCAGCAAACGCCGGCCGAAGTCGGCAAATCGAGTCAGCAAGCAGCC